TAACGAGTAAAATAAAGATACAAGTAAATAAAATAATATTGTGCTCGAATAAGAGAGCATGTTGGGTTATCTTGAGTTGTGGTGTGATGATTGTATGAATAGTTTGAGCAATTGATTGCCAAGGTAACTCGATTGTTGTGACAAAGCGAATTGTTCTTCAATTCATTCCTATTATCCCTAACCCGAAGAACTGGTTAATTGTGCATGCCTTAATGATACATCCCTGCGTTAACCATGGGTGAACAACAATTGATCTTGCGCTCCTTTTAGCCGTTGAAATATGAATTTATCCCTGAGATGGATTAACATTCACCAAAATTCGTCAGAATAAAGATCATGCTCATTCGTTTCATGAATCTAACTCTCTCGATATTAGATAAATGGATAGTTCTCGAGATCCTCTCCTGATTCACTCGAAATCAAATTAAGAATCAAGAATGAACAAACTTTGAACTTAAACTGCAATCAATAAACTTAAACAAATCCAAATATTTTCACAACCACAAAAACCCAAAAACCCAAGCCAATTTAGTTTATTTCATGGTTGGATGTAAAAGAAATACAAAATAAAAATTCCCAAACATGAATTGAAAAAAAAAACAAGGAAAAAATATGCGATTAACCCTTAGCTTTTCTCTCTAGTCGGTCACCCTTTTGCAGATTGGGATTTGATCATTATTAATAGGAGATGATGAGGTTGAATTGGTTGTTGATGAAGATGTGTTTTAGTTAGAATAAAAGAGATAATAAACCTCTTTTTATCTTTATCCTAAAACTCCTTGCAAATCTAACTTCCTTATCTCCTTAAAACTTTGCGTGGATTTCTATATTTTTGGGACTTATCCCTTGCTTTTCGTGCTTATCTTGAATGAGGTGGATTTATCTAGTCAACATTGGAAATCGGCTTGGCAAACCCTTCAGAAATAAGCCTCCAATGCCACGACAATTCCTACTTGCCAAGGCAATCCCTAATCTGCACAAATTAACACAAACTAGTAATGTATTTTCCAACCAAAATGTAATATCAAAATTAACGATGAAGAAACCTATAAAATCATGCATGAGTAACTAATAATGCAACTAAACTGAACCTAAATCTAGCAATAATTATGGGTAAAAGGGTATAAAATATAGTACTTTTATACGCTTAAGACACCCCCAAACTCAAACTATCACTTGTCCTTAAGTAATGCATGACATCCACTTTCTCATAGCAATTAGACAACATCACTCTTACACATGCTTTGGACATATTACCTCATATCCTTAGCGATTTTCTGCTAATCACCTTCAAACCTCAAGACAACTAAAAATCATCTCAAATCAACTTATGATGCTCCTGTATGTATGTGCTCTTAGTCGAGAAGGTCCATCTCATGAGTATTTGCAGAGAATATCATAATTAGACAATGCATGACATCCACTTTCTCATAGCAATAAGATAACATCACTCTTACACTTTCTTTGCACATGTTATCTCATAACCTTAGCAATTTTATGCTAATCAACTTCAAACCTCAAGATAACTAAAAATCAACTCAAATCAACTTATGATGCTCGTGTATATGTGTGCTCTTAGTTGAGAAGGTTCACCCCATGGGTATTTACAGAGAATATCATAATTATCAAAGTAATTAAATAAGCAAAAGATGTCACAACAATTACTATTTAGCTTAAATAGAGCTTCAGCTTATCACAACTACCTGCGAGTACTTGAGTAGTAAGATGTCGTTAACAACAAACCCCTAGCCTTTTAGGTAGAGTCATCCCGTGAAGACTTTTATTCACTCATGCTATTTATGATTATCTTTCCTACTTTGTAGTCACTAAGCGTACCGAACTTACTTTAGCAGTGGAGTATTCTAGAACTACAAAATTATTGTGGCAATTTATTCGGCTAAAGCCAGTTGGGCACCTTTATCAATTCACATTGAACTTAAAAAAATATTAATGATAATTAAGTATTCACCAAAATACCCACAAGTCAACCAAACATGACTTTCGGTAAATAATTATAGCATCATAAGAATCATTAAGGCAATATCAAATGATCTCTAAGTCCTAAGATTATCGGCGTTAAAGTGCTATCAACAATTATATCATCATAGGTAAGTAAAACGTCTTAGTAATTGTTTGTCTGTGTAATTGTCATAAAAAACCGATGTCATGGGAAGCTTAACTGAACAACATTAATAATGCAATCACAAAGCATGACATAGTAAATACAATATGATAAAATGAATAACAACCCCCTAAACTTGAGAAGAACATTGCCCTCAATGCATGCAAATGATTATAGCATCATAATAATCATTAAAACAATCTCAATTTATCTATAAGTCCTAAGATTCTCGGTATTAAAGTGTTATTGGTAATTATCTCATCATAAGTAAGTAAATATTCTCGATAATTGTTTCTATGTATAATTTTCATAATAAACAAATGCCATGGGAAGCTTAACTGAACAACAAAAATTAATGCAACCATAAAGCATGACATAGCAAATGCAAAATGAATAAAAATCCCCCAAACTCGAGATGAGCATTGTTATCAATGCATGCAAATGAATGGAATAGTGAGAAAGGTCTTCACCTTGATTGATGAGTGTCATTTGAGCCATTTGTTTGATTTGCTTGTTGGCTTGTGGTGGTGGAAGCTTTTCTTTAATGGTGCAAAATTGTTCTTTTATGGTTGGTGTTACGAATTGATGAAATGAATGTTTGGGTTCTTTATAAGGTTGAGTCATGTCGTTAAATTTCATGACCATGGGTTTTTGTGAGGTTGTAAAGGTGTGTGATAAAGGATATTAGAGGGAAACAAGGGTAATAATTTGGGATGAACTCCCTCCTTGAATCAAAACAAAACAAAATATAAATATTAAATAAAAAGAGAAACTAACTTAAGTATATAAAGACAAATAAATAAGAGTGCAAATTAAACTTTAAAATAAAATAAACATAAACATAAACATAAAAATAAAATAAAAATATATAAACATAAACATAAACATAAAAATAAAAAAAACATAAACATAAACATAAACATAAAAATAAAAATAAAAATAAAAATAAAAATAAAAATAAAAATAAAAAAATAAAAATAAAAATAAAAGGAAAAAATCAATAATAAAAATATTGAAGGAGAGTATATTCATGTTTCTCCGAGAGTAACCACTTCCTTGTCGCGCTCAACATGAGCACTGGTGTAGTGCTTACATTGTTGTTCATTGACTTTAAGCTCATGTCCGTCAATGGTGGACCTATTTATTACGACACCATGGGAGAAAAGGTTTCACTACCTCAAATAGCTTGGACCATCTCGATTTCAGTTTTCCCGGAAAAAAAGATTTAACCTTGAATTGAATACTAATTGCCCTGATAATGGTTTCAATTCTAACATGGGAGGTTGTTCATTAGGATATTTTATGAGTTTACCTTCCTTACCTGAGTAGTTTAATGGTTCAAAATATTTACCTGGTTGACTTACTATCCAATTTGCTTTGTCTTTCTGTCCATCGTCTGGTTATTCAAATTCCTCCGGTTTGACAATAGAATTGTCATGGTAATTCACCTCTACTTTAAAATTGAATTCAGTGGTGGCATGAATGACTTAGCATTCTTTTGGATCGTCAGCACGTTTCAAGGTTGGAAAAACATTTATTTTCACTTACTGGTCATTAACTCTCATAGTGAGTTCTCCCCTTTTGACATTAATTAAGGTTCTTCCTGTTCCTAGGAATGGTCTTCCAAGATAATAGGTGTGAACTCATCTACTTCACAATCCAAAACAATGAAGCCAGCGGGAAATATAAATTTAACAATTCTTACCAATATATCTTCATTTTTCCCTTTGGTAGCACATAAGATCTATCTGAAAGCTGTAGCACAACTGTTGTAGGTCTCGCCTTCTCGATACCCAATCTTTGGAACACAAATTTAGGCATGAGGTTTATGCTTACTCCAAGATCGCATAACACATTTTTGATATAGCAATTTTTGAATGCACATAATATTGTGAAACTACTGGAATCTTTTAGTTTGGGTGGCATTCGATTGTGCAACATTGCCATGCATCCCTCCATCACAACAACTATTTCAAACTCTTCTAGCCTCGTTCTCTTAGAGACAATGTCCTTAAGGAACTTAGCATAGTTTAACATTTTCTTGATCGCCTCAACCAATGGCAAGTTGATGTGAACTTGCTTCAAGATGTCTAAGAATTTCTTTAACTGATATTCTATTTTCTGTCTTTTCAGCCTCTAAAGAAATAGTGGTGGAATTCGGAACTCCTTATCCTTCTCATCTGTTTGGAATTTGATTGATGGACTTGCCGATGTATTTGGAATTATCGAGGCATATGGATTTTCTCGGCCATCCTTTGATTTATCAATATTGATTGGGGTAAATTGTCCGACCTGTGTCTCCAAAGATTTCAAAGCTGCTTATTGGTTCTACAGTCTCATCTCAGTCCTGTTAATGAAAGCGTCAGTCATTTTCATGAAAATACTATTCTCAACCATGTAAGATTATGTTTTTAACATAAAAGATTTGAGAGTATTTTCCAAAGAACTAAATGAAGTCTACGGGTTGGACATCACGTTGTTGTATCGATTGTAGTTTCCAACATTAAAGCTAGATTATGGGTTCTGTGGACACTGAAAAGAATCATGGTTATCATTACAAAACTCACAAAAGGAATTTACTACCTTGATCTTATGTGAATTGTTTAGTCACTGCATATTCTTAACAAAGTTGGTTAAGGTATCCAATTATGCAGAGATACTGTCCGTTAAACCAAGTTCATTTATTGTGATATTACGTCTGACTCTTCATATTCTTGTGATTGGGATCTGATAATCATTTTTGGAAAGATGATTCAGAATCTCCATTGCTTCCTTCGGTAACTTATCGATGAGTATGTCATTTGCAAAAGTGTCTAGCATCATCCTTGTCGGTGTGTTCACCTAGTTGTAGAACATCGTCACTTGCATTCGTACTAGGAATCCGTGAAGGGGACATTTGTGTAAATGCTCCTTGTATCGCTCCCAAGCCTTGTATATGGATTCATCATCTGCCTACCGAAAAGAAGTTATATCATTACACAATTTATTAGTCATATTTATATAACTAAATCTAGCAAGGAAATCACAACATAAATCCATCCAAGATTCTAAAGAACCGAATGTGATACTATTCCACCACGATTCTACCATATCCCTTAGTGAATAGGGGAATAATTTCAGCCAGAGAACATCATCATAGACTCTTTGTTGCTTGAATGAGTTGCAAATTTCTAGGAATGATTTGAGATGTTTGTCTAGCATATTTTGTTGATGATCCGCCAGATTGACCAATTATGTTGATCATATTGAACATTAATGGTTTTAATTCAAAGTGGGTAGCTTCTATTTCAGGTGTGACAACTATTGGATTGAGACCGTTGAGATCTTCCTCTAAGTAGTCTCAAATGGGTCTGTTCCTTATTTGAACAGGTCGTTCTACTAAATCTCATCCTCCTCTTGCTTCGGTATTTGGGTTACCAATTGGATCAACAAGTTGGTATCTCATTGCTGCTTGTTGCTTGTGCCTTCTTTTATAAAGAACTTGCTCTATTTCGGGTTCAAATGGATATTTTGGTGATGTTGGTCTGGACCTGACCATACACAGATGCAAACCATAAATTATAAGCCTCTTGAATCTGAAAAGAAAAAATAATACTAATATTTAAGGTACAAGAAATAAAAATCAAAGTTGCTATTGTCAATCATCGACAACGGCGCCAAAAACTTGTGTAATTTTAGTGCTTCACAATTGGTGCAAGTATACACATCGTAAGTTATAGTATAGAATAAATATTGTCTCTACAGGGATTGGTGTAACTCTATGTTCTAATAAAAAGAATAAATTGGTAATATTATAAGTTTGAATTAATGAGTAAAATAAATATACAAGTAAATAAAAGAATATTATGATCGAGTAAGAGAGCAGGTCGGGTTATCATGAGTTGTGGTGTGATAATTGTATGAATAGTTTGAGCAATTGATTACCGAGGAAACTTGATTGCTGTGACAATGATTCGATTACCGTAACAATTGGGTTCCTACCTTCAGAGCTTGATGAAGCGTTCTTCAATGCCTTATTATTATCCCTAACCCGAAAAACTGGTTAATTATGCATGCCTTGGTGATACATCCCTACGTTAACCATGGGTGAACAACAATCAATCTTGAGCTCTTTTTAGCCGTTGAAATATGAATCTTATCCCTAAGATGATTAAGATTTACCAACATTCGTTAGAATGAAAATCATGCTTATTTGTTTTATGAATCTACCTCTCCTGATATTAGATAAATGGATAATTCTCGAGATCCTCTCCCTATTCAGTCGAAATCAAATTAAGAACCAAGAATGAGCAAACTTTAAACTTAAATCGCAATCAATAAACTTAAACAAATCTAAACGTTATCACAACCACAAAAACCCAAGCCAATTTGGTTTAATTCATGGCTGGATGCAAAAAAAAATACAAGATAAAAATTCTCAACCATTAATTGAAAAGAAATAAAGAATAAGATATGCAATCAATCCTTAGTTTTTCTCTCTAATTGGCCACCCTTTTGCAGATTGAAATTTGATCATTATTTATAGAAGATGATGAGGTTGAATTGATTGCTGATGAAGATGTGCTTTAGTTGGAATAAAAGAGATAATAAATCTCTTTTATCTTTATCCTAAAACTCCTTGCAAATATGACTTCCTTATCTCCTTAAAACTTTGCGTGGATTTCCAGATTTTTAGGATTTATCCCTTGCTTTTTGTGCTTATCTTGAATGATGTGGATTTATCTAGTCAGTAACGAAAATTGGCTTGGCAAACCCTTTAGATATCAGCTTCCAATGCCATGACAATTCATGCTTGCCAAAGCAATCCCTAATATGCATAAATTAACACACACAAGTTGTGTGTTTTCCAACCAAAATGTAATATTAAACTTAACGGTGAATGAAATTATGAAATCATGCATGAATAACTAATAATGCAACTAAAATGAACCTAAATCTAGCAATAATTATAGGTAAAAGGGTAGAAAATATAATACTTTCATACTATTAACAATACACTATAGGGAACCTGGTGTCACATAGTATCAATGCAATTCCCACTAAGCTGTTGAATGATCTCATTGTCTTACCACTACAAGAAAATATACCTTTAATGACACACGAACGATGACACACGATAATTTATGACTTGCAAAACATGTGTGTCATAAAAAAAATGTTATGTTTTTTAAAATCTGAACTATTTATGACTTACAATAATGTGTGTTATATTTAATAGTCATAATCCAAAAAAATTGCAAAAACACGAAATACAATTTTAATTGTGTGTCATCTGTAAAAGTCGTATTTTAATTTTTCCCCATTATTTTCCTCCTTTCCCGCTTCTTCCCCCTCAATAACAAAGTTCCATTTTTCTCTTTTTCAACCTCCCATTGTTTTGGCCATTCACCACAACGCAGACGAGGGAGTAAAAATTCAAGTGTTTCCACAGGTATTCCTCGTTCTCTATTCCACCATTCAATTGTAAACCACTTTATTTCGTCCCAAATCACTCACTTGCTAACGGGAAAAGAGAAAAAAGAAAGAAAAATCTCCAAGCTCGGTTCCCCTGTTTCCTTGGAGATCTAGGGTTTCCAATTGCTTGTGTAATGGAGACGGCTAGTATGGAGTTAGTGGATTATGAGGTGGAAAGGAGGGAAGCTGTCGAAGATATTATGCAAGATGCACCGATTCTAAATTCTGTCGGTCCTAATCTCCAGCTTATCAATGCTAGTGATAGGCTTCAGGTTCTTAATGGTGTAGTGGTCGAGGACCCTGGATCAATTTCTCGTACGGTGGAAATGGCGCATTACCAGCAGACCAACCAGTTTTTTCTCATTTCTCTAGATAAGTTTTGTCCTTCAAAAGTTATCAAAGGTTCGAATGTGATTGTAAAAAGAAGTGTCAGCACTAGTTTCGATTTAAAAAGAAAAAAGAAGATTATGAGGAGGAGCAAGTCGAGGTAAAGTCTAGATAATGAAGCGGTGGCTTCGGTTTGTGTGGATGAGGTACTGGGCATTGCCTCGAAAGTGACGGTGATTTTAAGTTTAGAGCAGATTGAACTATCGGATTTCAAAGCTTTTGTTTTCTCAGCAAGCAAACAGTTATTATTTGTTAAATTTATACCATATGGAGCTGGTTAAATTAACCATCTCTTATTCATATATGCTAAAAAAGGTATGAGCAGGATCTGTGGACATACATAGCAAGGTTTTTAGATGGACGATCGCTGGTGATGCCGAGAGCTACAAATAAATGGTTCAACGGTGTTATCATGCAAGAATGTATATGGAAGTTCACATGCTTGAGGGAGCTTCAGGTTCCTGATCCTGGTCACGTAGCATTCAGTTTGTCGTAACCGGTTTTCGTCCGGGCACGAATTTTTTTTATACTTGGCGGGAAAAATAATGTGAATAATAAATAATTTAGGAGTCGCCATCTGCCTTTTGGGTCAGGTAGATCGAATACCTAAAAATTATCTTTTAAAAGAGTTTTTAAGAAAACATCAGTTAAAAGATGAACTGATCTGCGTTTATAACAAAAAATTCGTTCTTTTTATTAATAAAAAGGGATTCGTGGTCGGTTACGTTTAGGGAATGATTAGCACCCTACAACGCCCAAAATTGGTACTTTTTAATTATAAATTGTCTCTAATAATAGAATTTTAAGAATTCAAATATATTTAATTTATAATTATGTTATTTCAAATTTTATTACTATAATTTTTAAGAAAATATATTAATAAGATATTTATTTACTTAGAAATATCAGAAAATGACTTCTAAGTGCTTTAAGACAGTCCATTTCTTTGATATAAAAAAATAAATATAATTATTTAATTAAATATATATTTTTATGACTTAAAATAAAAATAAAATAAAAGAAATAATTTTTATATATAAAAAAGCGAAAAACGATAGATAATGATTAAATTTTAACATTAAAAAAATAATTAATTAATAAAATGTATAAATATTATGTTTATAAATAACAAATATGGTGGAAAATAGAAAGTCAGCAACATGTAAAAAAGGAATGAATAGAAAAGTGTGTATGATGAAAAACGGGCAATGACTGAACTAATAATAGTAACGTTTATTTATTATAATTTTCTTTTATTTTTAATTATTCAATTACATCATAATTATTTATGAATTAACTACTCTTCACCAACTTTGATTTATAAATAAAAGCTTATAATAATAAAATAAGAATCATAATCAAATTTCAACCCCACTTCTATTTAAATAATTTCTTAAATATTATAAAAAATTATTAAAATATTGTTAAACTTAAAATAATAAATAAAAACTCAAATTTCAACAATGTAAAAGAAAGAAACGTGATTATTAGGTCCACTAGCATTAAAATATTTCCCTCCCAACAAGTCAAATTTTGCCGCTCAAAAATCTATTCCAACTACTCCATCATGTGATTATTAGTGGAAAATAAATGTAATATTACTCTATATTTTACTAATCCCAATAATTTAATACTATTATTTCTAAATTTGTATAGGCATAAAAAATATAAATAATTTTATAAATTTAAAAATCGTTTTATTTAATTACCATGAAACAAGAAAGAATAAAAACGATAATTATACCTTAAATATATATATTTTATGTAAAGGACTAAAATAAATAAAATTTAAATTAAGGAACCGAATTATAAAGATCTAAAATTTGATTCAGTGACTAAAATAGAAATTTATAAATATAGGATGGCAACGGGTATAATTTACCCATTTAAAATTACACATATACCCCTCCCCAAAACGGCGTCGTTTGGGAAGGGGTATAAATCCCTTAAAATGGCCGGCCCTTAAGGGCCATTCTCTCATTTTTTTTCTTTCCTCTTCTTTCTCTAGCTGAGAGAGAAGAAAAACCTCTCTCGCCTCTCTCTAGATTCCTCCAACCGGAGGAAGACCGATTTCCGGCCGGCAACCGTGCTCAGGCGCCGATCGTCGCTGCCGGCCACCGTCATCGGTGGTCGAAAAAGATAGA